TATTGTGCTATTACAAGTATATTTGATTTAATTATTAATGAGTGTAGTAGTATTTATATGATAGATATAACAGCACGTTCGGTAACGATAAAAAAAGGAATGATTAATTTTAATATATTATCAGTAACACAACCATTAATAATTAATGAACAAATTATTTCTATTGCAATTAATTCAATATTACAAAGTACTGATAATTTCTTACTTATTCTTGATATTCAAAGAAGTTCTAAACCTTTAATTATTCAAAAAATTCCAGTTATTAGTCCTCGTTCTCATCCAGTAGCTTTTCTTGAAACTAAGAAAAGACCAAGTATTGTAGTTTCATTAGAAAATCAATTTAAATATATGTGTGATAATCAAGTTATTATTATTGGAAATATGACAGAATCACCATGTTCTTCACTTCATCTTGATAATAAAATTTGTAACTATATTGGTGGATCAATATATTTAAATTCAAATGGAAATATTGATTATTCATGTCCTTGTAATAATGATAAAAATGTAAATAAAACATTATTAATTAATTCTAAAGAATATTATATAAAACAAAATGAAGAATATAATCAAATTTATAATCAATATAATAGTATTTTATATTCTCAAAATAAAGAACTTGTTATTATATTAGAACAAGATATTCAAATAAATGGAAATAATAATTCTATTTTATTTAAACTAATTGGTGATAATAATAATATTTTAAATATTCATATTAAGGGAACTGCTATTCTATTTTGTGAATTACATTTTGGATATGATATACATATTCAATCTAGGTCTGTTAGTTTATCTCAAAACGGTTTATGTAAAGTTGTAGTAATTGAAAATAATAAAATATATTGTGCAGTTTGTCGTTATTTAATGAAAAATAATGAATGTTTAAGTGGTAAAGTTGAAGAATGTATGCATTATACAAATAATGGAAAATGTTTTCAGTGTAATGAAAGATATTATATTGATAGAGAAAAGAATAAATGTAATAAATGCTCTGAACATTGTCAATATTGTAATTCAAATGAATGTATTTTATGTTATAATGGTTATCAACTTCAAAATAAAAAATGTATATTATATAAAGAACCATGTAATTATTTTAAAGGAGATATTTGTTATAAATGTCCTCTTGGATATTATAATATAAATGGTATTTGTACTAAATGTAAAGAAGGATGTATAATGTGTCAAAATAATAATACTTGTGAAAGTTGTGATATTGGTAATGGGTATTTTGGAACAAATTGTTCATATATTGAACATTCAAAAATAATTAGTTCAATAGTAATTTGTGAATATGGATATTATTATAATGGAAGCATTTGTACACAATGTGGAAATAATTGTGGAGAATGTCAAATAGATTCATATGGAATAAAAACATGTTTATCATGTATAAGTGATGAATAT